TATTTTGCCACCTTTGATTTAAAATCTCTGTATGCGAATTTGATAGAGTCAAAACAGCATTAACTTGCGCATTGCTCCTGTGCCCATTTGGAATTTTTGGTTCTACAAGCGGATACCATTCGCAATGAAGAATGCACCCTCCACATTCCAAAAATTTAATAATCAATTCGGAGCCTGACAACGAGATTCGAAGAACAACTTTCTGATTCACGCAAATGATTTGGATTTGATCAACTTTAAACCTTTAAACTTAATTGATTCAAATGCACTAACTAGAACCAACTTCTGAAGTGAAAGAATAAATGAGAGGAAGACATCAGAAGAAATAGCAATTATTAGAAATCCCATTATGTTGTGAATATAATTTCCTGTTTCGAATCACCAGATCCTAGTTCCAGAATCCCTAGGGCTCAAAAAGAGAATTATTGAGTCATGGAATTTTTATATCGCTATGATAATGTTGGGAAGAAATCGAACTGGTGATATCAGATAATGTTTTCCGTGTCAAGATACATTTATTAAAAGAATATCCAAAAAATATTTTGTCTTTTAAAAAGAGATGCTGCCGATTTGAAGTTGACGCTATTTGTGTGTGATAATAGTGAGAAGAAATTTTCATCATAAATTGGAAAAATCTTCAGAGACTGTTTTTGGTTTAGTTGCATTTCCGTTTTATGAATCTTTGTAAGTTTATAGAGTCGTGACGATGGTCAGATTTGATGGGGTGTAAATTTCGTTCTAAGGTCCTTCAATTCCTGGATATCTAGTCTAATGGACTGTAGCTTCTTTTCCTTAAAGTTTAGTCCAACATTTGAGTTGTTTTATTATGACGCTTTTGTCATTATTATTGCGTTCGTGTATATTGGTTTGTTTTTTTTCAAGTTTCTTCTTTTCTATATTTTTTAGTTCGATACTTGTTCTCCACTTCCTTGTGGTTGCTCGATTCCCAAGCAGCCACGGAGAAAATCCTTAATCTCGTCCATCTAGATGAACTCCCTTCTGACATAAAACACAAAAGAGGAGCTAGAGGCATCATCTAACAATCTATTAATCGCAATAAGGATTCCTATGAGAACAGTTGTCCCGTAAAATAAGCGGCAGTCCACAGAGGCGTGCCTTGGCGGAACGGGCAACTGACGTCTGAAACAAGATGCCAGAAAACTGTTCAACAAGGTAAAAGCTAACGGTAACTGGGCAGATTACAGAACAGCCCTAGACAAGTACAACCGTGAATTCAGAAATTCAAAAAGGAAATCATGGAGACAAATCTGCGAGGGAATGGACGAATTAGCCCCAGCTCAACGTCTCCAAAAAGTCCTTTCAAAAAACCACTCAAACGAAATTGGTTTGCTAAAAAAGCCAAACGGAGAACACTGTACTGACCATATAGAAAGTCTAGAGGTACTGCTACAAACCTACTTTCCAGGGTTGGTAATCGTAGAAGCCCTGAACCAGGTCACTCCGCCTATCGAAGTATCTCAAAGCCCTAACGGGAGAGCCAAAAGACTAGCAGGGAAAATCTTCACAATGAACAGAATATATCTTCAGACCCTACAAATCTCCAGGTAAAGACGGTATCTTTCCCACACAACTGCAAAAAGGCTAGGAGTACTTGAAGGTACATTTACAAAAGCTTCCCAATGCAAGCCTGGTCCTAGGACACATACTGCTATCCTGGAGGGAAGCTAATGTTATATTCATACCAGAAACTGGTCGTCGACCTGAAGACGAAGCAAAATCATACCGTCCCATTAGCTTAACCTCCTTTCTCCTCAAAACCATGGAGAAAGCAATTGACCAGTACATCAGAAGCGAAACTCTATTGAGAACACCGCTCTACTCAAAGCAAGTTGTCTATCAGCCAGGCAAATCAACAACAAGTGATTTACACTGCCTGGTTAAAGACATTGAAAGGATAATCGAGTACAAAGAGATCGCTCTCCCAGCATTCATTGACATAGAGGTTGCCTTCGACAACACCTCACATCGTTCGCTAGAGCCTTACAAGAATGGAATGTTGAAGTCCCAATTGTAAAATAGATATTGTCGATGCTATTGATGTTAAAACAGTGTTAGGTTACGGCTGAAATAAACGGATCAGCTACCGCTACTACGGCCAGAGGGTGTCTTCAAGGGGGTGTTCTTTCTCCACTACTACGGACACTCGTGGTGGACAAAATCCTCACCAGACTGATTGGTGCTTGATACGAGATCAAAGGCTGTGCAGATGACCTGGCCAATAAAATCAAGGGTAAACATGAAGGCCTAATAATGAGCCGAATGCAAAATGCTCTAAACATCGTTAAAAATTAGAGCGAAGGCGAGGGATTATCCCTAAACCCAAGCAAAATAATTTTTGATCCGTTCACAAGAAGAAGGAAGATAAATTTAGAAGCCTCCACCGTTAACGGTACAACAACATTAACATTTTCCAACAAAGTGAAAAACTTGGGGGTCACCCGGGATTAAACACTCACTTGGAACAAACAATTAGAGAAAACATGCTCTAGAGAGCTATATCAGTCATCTGGTCATGCTGCAAACGGGTTGGAAAAACATGGGGTCTTAAGCCAAAGATGGTATTCTGGATTTACCAAACTATAATAAAGCCCATGGTCACCTACGCCTCATTGGTATGATGGCCCAAAACTCAGCAAGTTACCGCTCGGTTCAAGCTAAACAAGGTAGAAAGGCTGATATGCCTAAGAATAGCGGGAGCAATGTCGACCTGCCCCACTGTAGCCCTAGAGACGGTTCGTAACATGCCTCCACTTCACCTATGTGTGAAGAAGAAGGCAATAATCAGCGCTCACAGGCTATTCCAAACAGACAAGTTCAAGCTGGTAATCTGAGGGGACATCTGCGCATCTTTGAAATTATAAAACTGGAGAATGCCAGCAAACCAAGCGACCACAGGATGGTCAGATTGGACTTAGAGATCCCATTCGCAGTGGTATCAAACGGGCGCCAATCATGGGAGAATAAAGAATTACCACAAACAGACAATGCATCTCTGAAGTACACAGATGGATCCAAACTAACGGAAGGAGCTGGACTGGGCATTTCCGGCCCTAGCCTTAAGCTCACCAAGGCATTGGGCAAATATCTTACAATATTTCAAGCCGAACTGCTCGCCGTAAACATATGTGCACAAGAGTGTCTCAAGCAAAGCCTCAAAGAAAAACACATCTTCATACTATCAGATAGCCAAGGTGCCTTGAAAGCCTTAAGGGCTTTTATATGCACCTCAAAACTAGTCTGGGAGTGTAAACAGACCCTGAAAACACTAGCGACACACGACCAGAAAACGCTGATGTGGCTGCCTGGTCATCGAGGCATAGAAGGAAACGAAGAAGCAGATGGTCTCGCAAAATAAGGGGTCTCAACGCCATATCATGGACCAGAGCCCTATTGTGGCTTAATGAAAAGCAATATTATAAAAGAACTCAACCAATGGGAGAAATACCAACTGTCATCATATTGGAGGCACACTACGGGACTAAGACAGTCAAAAAGGTTTATTAGCCTTCCAGCAAAAAGAACTGAACAGCTCCTAAACATGAGCAAACCAGACATCAGAATGGTCGTAGGACTGCTCACAGGAAACTGCCTAGTGAAATATCACTTAAAGTTAATAGGCAGAACAAAAGACGATCCCTGCAGATTCTGCTCAGACGCAATAGAGACCCAGAGCATCTGCTTTGTGAATGTTCAGCCCAATTCTGCAAGAGGCTCAAATTCCTGGAGGAGGCAACACTGTCGCCAGAAGAAGTGGGCCCACTGACACCCGGAAAAATAGCTTCCTTCGGCAGAAGTCTACGTTTCCTGGAAACAATTTAGGATGTAGAGTCCCGTACAAAATATCTGCAGAGGTAGCAGTGCTGAGCGGCTGGAAAGCCGAAACGACTTCCCCATCATCATCTAGATTCTAGTCCTAAAGATTATTCTACAGCAACTAGTTTCAATAAAAAAAATCAACGAGATTTTTGTAAATAAATATCGATTTTCTCAAAAACATCAAAACAAAAATACAAAACTAAACTCTATAAAATTCAATTCTTGTCACATCAAAAACTAACATAAAATTTCAATCAGTTTGGTAAAAAGGAAAAATGGCGACAAAAGGAGCAAAAATATGTTCGGAGGAAAAGGGTAAACATTAACCCTGCCCTGACCCGGTTTTTAACATTTTACACCCAATGACACACTTTCAAAAACCAGGAGACTCTATACTCTCTCTGGGAGCGTAAGAGATCGAGTTATGAACCAAGTGAGACTCGAAGTTTTTCAGGCTCGACCCTAAGAATTTGAATATGCAATATAATTCTTGAATAAAGTCACATTTATAAAGGGTGTTCCAATAAGAGTTTCGGATGTATTTTTCAATTCAAACGAAAAGCAAACTAGGAAAAATTGAATACTTTATAGCAATAAGTAACATGATCGTTTACAATTATACATGGAACACAATAGCCAACAAATGGCCACTGCGACTTCTCTCACAGCACACAATGTATTATTGTGTTGTAAACGATCATGTTACTTATTGCTATAAGATATTAAATTGTGATCCGGTGAACGTGGGGGCCTTCAACTATACCAAACATTGCAGAAGATTCTTGTCAGGAAAATATAACCTACTGAAACCAGTTGTAACTTTTTCCAACTCTAATACAGAGCAGATTAAGAGTTCAAATATTTTCCACTCTGCTATTGAAAATATTTGAATGTATTGTTTCTCAATAACAGAACTTGTTATAAAGTACATATGAGTAGGTATTGCCTGGTCTAAAAGTTAAGTTCAAGCCTCTAATTATTGTCTGGCTCAACGGCCTGGCAAACTCCCGACTTTTCGCGACAGCCAGAGGATAGAGTCAGCATCCCCCAATATTCTCCCCCAACGACTTTGGCCGACTACAAGCGAGCTTCCAGGTTCGGTCCAGGGAATGAAATATGTAGGATTCTGGATACTATCTGGAATATACAAAAGGGGTGTGTGCCGCAGGAGTAGGTCCGCAACATTCGGGGGCGCGAGGGACAATTTTCATTTTTTTCGGAAACCGCAATATCGAAATTTTTATTAAAAAAATAAATAAAATAAAAATGGCTGTGTTTATGTTAAGTAAAATAAAAAAATTTGTAGATTTCTTAAGGAAATATTTTAACCTCGCCGTTAAAAAGGTTGTGTACGGAACCGTCTGTTGAATATTATTTTAAGTGATTTATTTTTTAATGTTAATTATTTAGTTAATATTATAAACAAAAACATGTTCAATAGTGTACCTGGATGGATCGATCCTGAAACAGTTAGCGAATTTATTATTAAAATCCGCTTAAAAGTGACTTAAATTTTCAAAGTGTATCATTCAAAAAGGATGTCTTGGGAGTCGCTCAATTCCAGGGAGTTTGGGTAAAGTACAAAAAAAAAGGAGTTCTAGTTGTTGCTTCTGGTGACCTAATTTTGTTTACCTTGTGGAATGGCAGATTTTAAAAGGGAGTTTTAAAGCTGGATCAATATCTATGGGAAAATTCAGTTTATGTTTATATTACCGCACTTGTTTGTTGAATCAAGAACTTAATTTTTAATTACATTTACAGCTTATTAGTTCCTGATTCAGTTCTAAAGCTAACCTGAAATTTAACCTGCTGGTTTATTGCTAACAATAGAAGATTCATATAATTTCAATTTATATCTAGAGCTGTTAGTAGGTATCTAATAGATAATTTTTTTATTCATTTGCCTTTTGCGTGAAGTGAACGGCAAATTTTTAATGTATGGGTTAACCTGCTCCACTGGAGAAAAGGTTACTTCATCCGATATTAAATTTGGGCACCAATTTACCCGTAAAGGTACACATTATGAGGGGTAGCAAACAATAAGAGGATCTGTAGGCATTACCAGGACGGGCTATTCAGTTTGTAGTTTGTAATTTTTTCTCTCAAATGTACCATACATCACTTAGTGATTTACTAGATATTTTTGATACCATTGGGATAGAAGAAACACTAAAATACAACTGAGATTATCACCTAGGCTTTTCCTATATTTTTCATCAGCTAATGCTGCTTTCAGTTTTCCAGTATCTATTTCCAGAACTTTCTCTGGTTCTATATTTTGTATTTTCCTTTCTGGTATTGATTACCTCGGATTTTTAGAACTCTAGATTTTCGTAGAAATCTTGAACTATTATTTTAATCGGTTATTGTACTATAAATAGCATCTTAGTTAGTGTTTTCGGATATGTCATTTAATTTCCTTGTAATCCTGATTCATTTCTTTTCCCAATTTTATTAGAGTTCGTGTATGTGACCCCATTTTGTTGAAGTTTGAGTTCTCTTTGAAGAATATAATTTTTGTAGCAACCTTGATATGTTATCGCAACCCAACCCCTTTTGATGGGAACTTTATCTTCAATAAAATTTGTTTGAACCTTTATTCCATTGTCTAAAAAGGCTCTTCAAAGTTTCCGGTTTCAAATATTTAATGCTAGAAATTGAGTAATTAATCCAGAACAATACAATTATACTATACGCAAAATGAATTTAATTAATGCTCTTGGACTAAATTGATTCTCAACCCTTATCTGTGAAGTTTTTGCTTATCCCGAAGTTGTACAGGTCTTTTACTGGGTGGTGTTTCAATAGGGTTTCCGGGTCTACGTTTGGTTGCCCGAAAATGCTGCAATTAAGGTCTCCGTCGTACAGGTTCATCCTGTTCAGGTGGACCTTTACTGGTGTGTGACCAGTCAAAAGTCCCGTTATGGTTCTCAGTCGGCTCCTGCTCATTTGTAGCAGTTCTGCGGACCTTTTGCTGAATGGTTGGTCGATGAATTTCCTACCATGATTCTGCCTGGAAGTTGTCCAGTGTCGCCGATGTTCTTTACGAATCCAGTCTTTGAAGATGCTTCTGGTCATACTTTTTGGTATCCCTAGAGCTGGTTCTGGCCCGATAAGTTTTGTCTTTGACCCTCTCTTTGCGAGTTCATCAGCTTTTTCATTGCCTTTGATTCCTCTGTGTCCTGGCACCCAGATAAGTTTTACCTTATTCTGGTCTGCCAGGGCCCTGAGTTCTTCCTGGCATTCCCATACTAGTCTTGATGACACTGTGGCTCGAAAGAGCCTTCAGTGCTTCTCCGCTGCGCATTGGAGTATAGCGTATACCTCTGCTTGACTAAATAGAAGCATGTCTTCCCAGTGCATAGTGATTGCTATGGTTGGCAGAGTATACCCCTGCTCCAGCACCAGAGGCGATCTTGGACCCGTCTTCGTACCAGGTCTGGTCTTGTTTTTTGGTCTCCGGTATGCCATGTTCCCATTCAGTTCTGCTTGGGCAGCTTACCTCGAATTCGGTTCAGGCAGTATCGTCTTCGCATGTAGTCGGTCCTTCATGTTGAAAAACTCTCCGCGCTACGATTGCCGTGTGTCCCGTCCTTCTGTTGAAGCGGATGTCGGCTGCAGTCTGTGCCCTTGTATCACTATAGAGGTGGGACGTCTTGGAGGGTCTCCATGGCTGCTGTTGGTGTGGATCGCATTAACCCTGTTATTCCTGAGCAAGCCAGTCTTTGCACTTCGCTAAGTTGGCGTATGGCACTTCCCTACAGTGTCTTGGGATACCTCACCAGGGGTCTCATTCTGTAAAGAACGAATCGTTCGATTCGGTAGAATTTCTTCGATTGTGACGTCATTTTCGGTTTGCTAGCGCGGAAGCTATTCCGAAAATGCCGAAAATGACGTCACAATCGAAGAAATTCTACCGAATCGAACGGTTCGTTCTTTACAGAATAAGGCCCCAGGGAGGCGTATTTCAAGATAGGTTTGACCATCATGTATGTCCAATCAGCATGTCTGGTCTCAAGCCCCATAATTTTCCAAGCAAGCGCCTGGCTATGTATAGTGATGTTACCGCCTTTTTGGTAGTGTTTTCCAGATGTTGATTCCAGGTAAGTTTTGAGTCCAGTGTTACCCCCAAGTACTTGACCTCGCTCGGAATCTGTATATTTTCACCCCTTAATCTCAGAGGACCCAGGTCCTTTATTTTATGCCTTCGGGTAAATGCCACGATGGTGGATTTGTTGGGATAATGTTCAGCTCTTCTCTATCCACCCATCTTGTTGTTCGGTCTAAAGCGTCTTGCATTCGCTTCCCAACTGTAGAGTTGAATTTGCCCCATGAGATGATGACTATGTCGTCAGCACATCCGAGGGCCCGGTGTCCTCCATCAGTGAGCACCTTAAACAGTCCATCCGCTACTAGATTCCACAATAGTGGGGATAATACCCCGCCCTGTGGGCATCCCCTGTACACCCTGGCCGCCAGTGTTTCCTCTGCGACGGTGGTTTCTACCATTCTTTCTCTTAGCATGGAGTTGATCCACACACAGCAGGTGTCCTCAACGCATTTGTGCTTGAGAGATTTGGTTAATAAATCGAAGGAGGTATTGTCAAAAGCTCCCCCTATATCCAAGAAAGAACCCAGCATCCGCTCTTTGTTTGCCAGTGTGGTCTCCACTATGCTGACCAGCTGATGAAACGCTCTTTCTGTTGTCATCCCCATCCGATACGCATATTGGTCTGGGTGTTGTGGTCTGTTCACCAAAGCACCGTCCCTAATGTGCCTATCTACCAGTTTTTCCAGTGTCTTAAGCTCAACTGATGTAAGACTAATGGGTCTTAGGGACTTCGCCGTGTCCTGTCCTATTTTTCCAGGTTTTGGTATGAACGATACCCTAATGCGCCTCCAGGCACTTGGTATATAGCCAAAGGCTAGGCTACTTCTTAAAATGTTATAAAGTATCCTGTTTGCATGTTCAGTTCTGTTCTGTAACATTATGTATGGGATAGATCCCCTCTGTCCCCGTTGACTTATATGGGTCAAAGGTATTTATAGCCCATTTGACTTTTTCATAGTTAACTACTTTCTTCGAGGTCAGCCAGAATGCTTTTCGAAGTCTAGACTCATTCCATGTCCACTGAGTCTGACCAACTATGTTTGAGCCGGGAAAGTAGGTTCTTAGGAGTTCCCTAGCCGTCTCTTTACCCGTCTTTGTGTATTCACCATGGTTGTTCTTGAGTGATTTGATTGTTGTCTTCGGGTCCTTTGACAGTATAGCACAATCTTGAGTACTTTCTATGTCCTCACAGTACTTCCTCCAAGACCTCCTCTGGGATCTTCTCAGCTCTTTTTTGAACTTTTTCAATGTGGTTCTGTATGTTTCCCACTGTCCGGTTCTCATGGCTTTATTGAATTCTGTTCTAGTTTTTTTCCTCAACTTTGCAAGGGCCTCGTTTCACCAGGGCACTTTCCCGGTGGATGTCCCTGTTGTAAGTGGGCAATTTTCATTTTTGCATCATTGAATTGATACACAACCATCTCCAAGTCTTCAGTGTCTCTTATTGTCTTCCTGATGTTCGGGAGACTATACTCCAGGTCAGAGCTGGGCGAAGCACTCGAAAAAAGTGCTTGGAGCACCAAGCACCAAGCCCTTAGGAAAAGGAATTGCCAGCATCAAGCACCAAGCACTTTGGAAATTCTTGGTGCTTGCAATTACCAATTACCAAGGAAAGTAATTGCACAATTCAATTACCAAGCACCAATTACTCAAAAAGTGCTTGAAATCATTGTTGAATACTTGCAGGTGCTTGCAAGCACTTTTTTCTCTAATAAATTACCAAGCACTACTTTACTACTTTGCCAATTGCTTCCAATTTATTTTTAAAATAAAGATGTTGCTGAATTGGAGTCTGGGGAGAAAACAATTTGAAACGTAATAAGTTTTACCTACGAGCGTGCGGTAAAGTGCACTTTACCGCACGTATTTGCAAATGGAAAGTATCACTTTACCGCACACTATGCGGTAAATTGCACTTTACCGCATAGTGTGCGGTAAAGTTAACTTTACAGCATAGTATGCGGTAAAGTAGAACACAAAGTGTGCGGTAAAGTCAACTTTACCGCATAGTGTGCGGTAAAGTAGCATTTGATATTTATAATCAAAAATCCTCTCTTTTTCAGAAAATAGATTTTTGATCATTTCTAAATTTTATCTAATTTCATTAATTAATTTTATCAATGCCTTTTTTTGGAGTTGTAGATGCTCATAGGTAAAATTTTGTACCTAACACATGCGGAAAGTGCCTTTACCGCCCTTAACGGCTTTACCGAACTCCGTGCGTGCGGTAAAGTATCACTTTCCGCATTTGTTAGGTAAATAACTATTAACGTTTTTGGTTGATGTTGATGTGCTGATAGTTATGATAAAATAATCAAACCAAAGTTTTTTGTTCTTAATTTATTACTAGTCTTCGTCTCTTTACTCTACATACACTACACTACAATATATCATCGAATATAATAGTACATTAAAATACAAGTTTCATAAGACGTCATTTTATCGCACGAGCCCTATATTAG